GCTCTTTGGTGCTTTAAAATTTTAAATACACGTGTTTGACTTTGCACTAGCCTGCGCGCGGTGCACCTTAGTTGTCACTCAAAACCAGCGCTATCTTTGAACTTTCCTAACTAGCTGTCATTTTCCTTCTCCAGCCCAAAAATAACTGGCAGCTAAATTAGCCAGAGCACATTCTTAAAAGCCGCAGGAAGCCAGAGGCCATAGGAATATGTTTTTTTCCAGCCAGCATCGGCAGTCAAAATGAAAAACCACAGCCAGAGAAGCGTTTCGGCAAAGTTCCCAGTAAGAGTTTCTCATCCTTTATTTAGTTACCAGCCAGCAAATTCTTACTCTTAGCCCGAGGAGCGGATAATTTGAGGAGCGGATCCGTAGAAGAATGCATGTATTACCAATAATATTATGCAATAAATCGAACAATAAATTCATGAAACACGAACGTCCTGCTCTGTAGTGATACTTGTGACATGGTGAAGGGAAACAGATATCCCTAGCACCACCACCACCCATTGAAATGAAATGTGAAAGGTGTTTCCTCTACCTTAGCCTGCGTAGCAGGCGCTTGGAAGTGGTGGGCACAAGAAAAAACGGATAACTTCCAAGCGCCTGCTACGCAGGCTACCTCTACCTGGGAACACATATCCCAGTGATACGTGTTTCCCTACCCGGGAACAACTACAAGGATTTATTCAGATCAACGCATTTCGGAAAAAAACCGTATGAAACTATGACCGTGATTAATATAGTGGGTCATTTAGTTAAAATATAAACATTTACGCTTGTCGTTTCCAGTTTATATTACTAAAAAAATGTTAAATCTATACATGTAATGGACTCAGCCGTATTGCATTGAACTACGCGGCTTATGGTACCGAAGAACGCTGGTTTCGGTCGATGTTATACAGTCGACTCCTGATAACTCGAACCTTCAAGGGAAATTGAAAAAGGTTCGAGTTATCGGGAGTTCGAAGAAAATAGCCGAGAGTAAGGTAAAAAACAGTTTTTCCTGCACAGTGAAGATTTTAATCGCATTTAATTGCAGAAATGTCAAGTGACTGCGGATTAAATGATACTTCTAGATTGTAAATCAGAACGTAACGTAACAAAACATAGCCTAAATAGAGTATGCGTTTTACTGTTGTGAGAAGAAAAGCTGCTTCACGTCAGCCTGCGACAATCAACATCAGCCTCCACTAGTAAACTATACTCCTACAACACGTCAATAGGAAATCCAAAATTCAATGTTTTGGACGCCCGTAGACGGCTTTTTTCCCGACTTTTTAAGGGCTCAAAACATGGTTCGAGTTTTCGAGGGTAAAATTATATAGAAAATGAGCTGAGGGGAAACGAAAATTGGTTCGAGTTAGCGGGAGTTCGAGTTATCGAGGGTTCGAGTTACCGAGTAAAATTACGGTGAATGTATGATGGAAATCCAGGGGAAATCTATTTTGGTTCGAGTTAGCGCGAGGTTCGAGTTAGTGAGGGTTCGAGTTATCGGGAGTAGACTTTATTTAGTGTCAACATGTCACGTAATCCTACCTAACATGGCAGACCCAAGGGCGAAACCGAACCAGAACTAGGTTCCGGCGCCCACAATTTTAGTTGCATTTTACAGCTTTAAGAAAGTTTTGTTTTTTCATTGCTCTCTCCCACACAGTTTTCAATCAGAAAAATATAGCTTAACTTGGGATGGAAAGTGTGAAAAATTCAGCGTTCTTCTACAACTTTTCAGCACACTGGCTACAAACAATTCTAAAATCTATTAGTTTCTGTGACGTTGAAGAATAAAGATGGTCGACAAACGGGATTTTTAAACTGTAAACTGGTGGAAAATAGAAATTTGGCGGAGGACACTTGTACAAAGTGCTTACCATTGCTGGAAAATCTCTCTGTCTGTTTAATACATTAAATATCGAAAAACGGGTAGTAGTGGCAATTTCATACGCTTTTTAAAATAAGCTCCTAGGCTTATATATCCCGAATATGGATCGTATGCGACTGAAAATCAATAGAGATACCCACGGTGTATCGCTTGATTTGGCTCCCGCTAGATTTGGCGCAAATGATGGCACGTGATTTTGGAAGTTTCCGTAGAATTTTTTTTATTAAGAACTTCTTAAACTCTAGCTGAAAATCGAAAAGCTGGAAAACAACTGTTTGAGACTATAATGACAGCAATAAAACTGGCATTGGATTGGCACGCTCGCGAGATTTATTTTATTTAGGTGTTTTCGGAGCCACAGCCGAGTTCCGGTTAAGTTTCGCGTTTAGGTCGATGCTAGATAGGATTTCGTGACTTGTTGACACTCAATAGCATCGACCGAAACCAGCGTTCCTTGGAAAGGCTATGAGCCGCGTCGTTCAATGCAATACAGCTGAGTCTATTACAGATTTAACATTTGTTTTAGTAATATAAACTGGAAACGACAATATTGACAGTTTTATAACAGGGGCTCCCGTTAGATCTGTTCGCAAAATATCTGTTCTTGTGGCGAAGTTTTGCTGGCTTTTGCTGAGAAAAATACAATTCTGGGTTTCTGAGGGTATTTGATGTCTGGAATAGCTGCTCTGTGTTATTTATCAGAAACCTCTTCCCCCGCCCCCGCCCACTGAAGGGGTGAATTGCGTCCTTTGGCCACACCCATTGTCCTACCGAAAACCCAAAAGCCCCCCCCCAACCCCCCCCCCGCTCACTGAAGGTCTGAATTTTTCCCTATGACTACAGCCAAACTGGCCAGTAATGTCTCGACATACGTCGGCTGGGAAACTTCCCATTAAGTCAGGTTGCAGGTTGTAGGTGCACCTTGCTGGCTGGGAACTCTTCCATCAGTCTTTCTGGGAGGGAGGAACAGGTAAAGTTTCCCCAGCAAACTCCCAAAATGCTTAAAATGGCTTCAGGAAGCTTTGTTCATGCTTTCTTGTTGTTTTTAGGCCTTTTTTTCAAATTTTCCCTTCGAGTGCCCCTGTTACACCCCTTGCATTTTCTTCGCTGATATCACTAAAGGAAGCGGCAAGAATTCCAAGATTTGCAGGCTTATCTATCTGGTCTTTGATACGATTTACAAACGGCGAAACCACAAGAAAAACATGGCCAGCGGCTTCAAAAATTTTGTCGAAAACAAACGGTAAAGCTTGATAAATAGGCGACCTTGCACATCTAGTTAAAAGATTTACAAACACATCAATCTTCTTCTGCAAAAATTTCATGGACCATCGCTTTTGTTTGATACGGTTTGAACGCACCTAATATCAAACGTTTCGGACATCAACGCGACACTTAACCTTTTTTAGTCCGCTATCTGGTCCCGAGGTAAAATTAATATTCTTGATAACTAACACGAGTTTACCCAAAGTTGGAAAACGTCCTTTGATTGGTCCGTATCTACGAACGTTAGTGGCAGCTCGTTTCAGCAGACGTTTGTGGGGCAGGAACCGCCGTGACGAACAAGTCGGGTAGCAGAGGCCGGAAAATAGGGGTTTCGCACAACCCAGGGATTACAAAAGTTTGGCAAGCGGATTATGGTAGACCTTGGCTTCCTTAATAATGCCTTGTAGTTAGTGGGGTTGAATTGTGGTATACGTTTTTATTTAAAGGGAGGTTTTTATTCCGGTGCCAAAACCACAGGGTACCCAAGTATTATCTTTTGGGAAAATATTTATCTGCTTTGAAATGCAAAGAAAAAGCATGAAATCTTATCTAATCGCACTTTTTGGTGTTAGGTTTGAGTGAAAACTAATTGTAAGCTAATTTTGCACTATTAGTCATATAATATGTTTTCTGCAAAAGGCGTTTATAGTAAGTGGTAGAAATTCGAAGTACGTCAGAACCCGTGCTCTTCGGCCTCCCGTCGTTAAGCGTACCCTACCTTATGTAGTCATCGCCATAACAGCAGGATTTATGATAAAAATCAGTGGTAAGAGATTACTTCTAGAGATAATGATCAAAAATAACCTTCGCTTGGCATTTTCATGCAGTGGTCTGTAATGACTTTCAGGATATTTCGCTATTCTACACAAGTGAAATACAGTGAAACCTGTATTAAGCGGACACCCTTGGGGAATGCTGTAGTGTCCGCTTAATACAGGGTGTCCGCCTAATACAAGTTTCGATAGATAATGTAATATGAGGTGTCAAACGCCATTCAAATGAACAGTGGAAACGTTTAGAATATTCCCAGAGACTATGACGATATACGTTTGCATTAATGCTTAATAAGGGTTTTATGTAAAGTAAATAAGGGAAATAAATTTGGGGACTGCGGCTACTGTCCGCTTAATAGAGGGTGTCCGCTTAATACGGTGTCCGCTTAAGACAGGTTTCACTGTAATAAAGAAAAACTTTCATCGATATTGATTTATCGTTGATATGTAAATGCGCTAGTACCTGGATGATCTCAGAATTGTTGTTAAACGTTGAAATTATGGGGAAAAGGAAGAAAAATGCTATTGTCTCTACCAACAAACCGAAAGTGAAGAATTTTGAAACAGCAACAAGGCAAGTACATCTCAAATGAGGAGATGAAAGAGTTGAAAACAGTGAAAACTGACTGAGATCTATTCAGACGTCCGCTTATGGTAGCCAACGCAAGGCATACCAGAGTTAGAGAAATTCTTTCGTATGAGTTATCTCCAGTCCAGCGTGGATTGTTCTCAAACACAGCACCATAAAGCTCTCAGCCTTTTTGTTTAGAAGCAATACTTAGACGAGACAATATTAAGAAAGACCGAAGCTTTCATTCGTGATTTGCATCCCAATACAAGAAAGAGTACAAGAACCATGGACGAACTGCAGTACCTTACAGTAAAAATGCAAAAAAAGAGGTGCTTCCAATAACTTTGGACAGTTTGAGGCAACACCTGAATCACGCAAGCTACCAAACATTTATCTGGAGAAGCTCGCTAGCAGCATTGCAAGATCTACAGAGTCCAAACACCATGGATAGTTATCTAACTCATGCAAGAAGTCACAGTGTCAAGGCAATTTCTCTTGCTCCAATTCAGGTCTCGCTTGTACAGAGGCACGCTTGTGCTTGGCGGAGGAATTGTGGAAAATCCCGCACACTGCAGCGGTCCGATGTAAACCTAGTGACTCAGAGGAGGAGTCAGATATTTATGACTTGGAGGAAGACTGGGAAGACAGAGTGAGTAACCTCCCTCGTAAGGTACGTGTAAATGTGCTATTAGCAGGCAGAAAAATGAAGTAATAATTTTATGTGAATGAATAAAAGCTCTTAGCCAACTATAAGATATCCTTCTATAATTCAGTAGCATCTGGGATGGGCAACAAATTCAAAAGATCTCAAAAGGATTTCAGTTCTGTAGCTGAAGCTCTCTTGCTGTGACGGTGATCCAATTATGATTAATTATAAGGTCTACAAGGAAGAGAAACGAGTAACGGCATGGAACTTTCTGGTCGTCCTGTACGTTTGCATGTTGCATACTCGTGGTTGCCAAAACGACAAGTATGTTCTTCGTTCGTCTATTTAGTAGAACAAAACATTGCTTGGGTGTACACCGTGACGTTGATGGCACTGACACTGCAGGGCACGATATCTCATGTTCTGCAACCGTTTTCATGGGCTTTTTAAGGTCTCTCTATAAGGTAGCGAGATCGAAAAAGTGAAGGAAATCATAGCACTTTAGGAGCTGTTAATTTTCATACTTAATTAGTGGTTTTCACTGTCACGCCATCCAGATTAAAAATGAAAACCCTTTAATACAGAAAGTCTAGAATACGGGAAATGAAAGAAGATAAATTTTACAAAAAGCCTTGCCAAGAATCAAGTCTGTGCAATATTTCATGTGCGAGATGTTCGGAAAAACGTTTTACCCAAATTTATAAAGCTTTGTATTGAGACGCCATCAGTTTGTGTCCCTTCAAGGGGTACAAATATGGCCGCCGGAAACCAACAGAAACATCTGTTTGTGAGTTTTCCTATTAATGCGTGAATTCTTCGCTTGAGGAACTCATAAAGATTAAAGTAATATTTATTCTGAGACAAGGAATGTTTAGATAACAAAATCTCCCAAAATCGGTAATGTTTTTAACCCACATCAGAGCTTTCCTGGCCGTCAGCTAAATGCTGCTTCACGCAAAAGCCTGAAAATTCAAGCGTCCAGTGTCGCAAAACGAAGAACCCTTTTGAACCGACAATTTGTTTGTATAAAGGTATTAAGATGCTGTAATACCACGTGAAAGTAGAAACTCGGAAGAAGAGACAGTTTCTTAGTTTGAATTTTGGTGACGTTATGTGAAAACCAAGTGTGTGGTTCAGACTGCAAAGTCGATATTTTCTTGCCCACAATACATTTCCGTGGGATAACACAGACTAATAAGTTAACAAAGTTAACATTAACTTGAAATACGTTTTCCGGTGACTAAATCTTTCAGAATGGGGAGGGAGTAAAAATATTTACGCCAAAAGATGAAACTCTATTAATAGTTTGTGACATGTGCAGAAGACATTTGTGATAATTAACGTGCCAACTTATTAAGGAATCCAAGAGGACACAATAAAGACTGTGATTGTGCGACTGTGAAGTTTTAAGCGTTTTCTTAGCATTTCTAACTTGATAAATATTATTTTCCAAAAAATACAACTTGGGTAGCCTGTGGCTTTTGGGCCCAAATAAAAACCTCTTCAAAACTAAAAACTTATACCACAATTCTACTCCACTAACTACCAGGCATTGTTCAGGGGGTCAAGCTCTACCATAGTCCGCTATCAAATCTTTTCTAATCCGTGGGTGGTGCCAAATCCACCTCTACTATTAGACTTCTGCGCGGGAGGCTAACCATTCAGAGCTATGGCCTTACACTTAATAGTATGTTTCACTTTAGTTTATAATAACACAGTTATTTCAGTGGGGTACTTAGATTACAAGCTATTTGATGAATCGTCCTCTTCAACTACAGCGGTTTCCTTATAGCCACGGACTAAAATCGGTAACATTTTAAAATTCACGGCCAATAGCAGGTCATGACAAATCAGTGGTTCCTGCTAGTTGCACTGGAGAATATGTGTGCATCATTTCGCTCCGTCCCTTAAATCCTCATACCTATTCTTTTCACTAGAAAACTTAGATCAGAAATTAAGTTGTTTCTTTAAGATAACGGAGCTAATAACTACTCTAAGGGAAATAAAATACAGCTTTGTACAACATCATCGTGAGTCCATAATTTCGCTCGTTAATTTAACTTCGTTCACAACATTATAATGAATTCTTTTTCCGATTCTTTCATTTGGATATACAATGTTCACAGAAAGATCTCTTAAGGCGTCTTAATAAATTTGGGTGACCGTTATATTAACTGCTTATCCGTTGAACTATCCAAAACCGTTTCAAATTCCCTTCCCCCAGGATGATTAACGGCGGACGCGTTTTAAATAGGGGATGATAGAGACTATCGCTAACACTACCGAATAGTTACCTTCAGAATTATTAATATCTGTTCATACAAAAGTATTTCTTTTTTCTCCAGCTTCCTTTAAAACACCTTTAATCAAAGATTTCCGATCATATCCTCAAGTTCTTTTCAAGACGATCAATATATCGTGTCTGTGCAATGCTTTCGACGGATATAAACTGAAACCAATTGATATTCATAATACGCTCCCATCTTCCTTCTTTCCAAGAATTCACAGTTGACTAATATGGTTTGTTTAAAAAAAGAATTGAAATGACGCATTCTTCAAAGACGTACTGCGAGTAAATATTTCTTCAATAAATATAATTATAACCGGACACACAAATATATAGTAAAATTTCACGAATTCAATAAAAAGAGCGGAAATTTAACGGATGCGTTGCTACCTGGAAGAAGTATTCCCTTATATAAGCACGATAAGATATGTGCGGCGCCAAAGAACGTAGTTTTTAAGGTAACTTGATAGGGTTTTTCGGGGTCAATACCTTCCAAATTTGAGCATAAACTACGTCACCATTAACGAAGATTTAGAAAATTATCACTACAGCTGTATCAGATAAAGATGAAAATTTGTTATGATCAGGGTTGCAATGACATCGGAGTTGTCATACCTACGAAATTACACCATTACCTATTTTACTTGCAGCCGTATTTCTCGAAACTGGGGACTGCTCTTCCAAAATCGTTCACGGGAACTTTTCCTACAATAGCGGCCTTGATGTTTAAGCGAATTTAAATCTGTAAAAGCGTTAACAAGATATTTTGGGGTGAGGTTTTTATTGTTAGAAATACGGTAAAAACTAAACAGTCTTGATGTTCGACCGTAATTGATAGAAAACAAAGCGCTTTTGAAATGCAATTTTACCTCATACATGTGGTAGTTTGAATCTTTTTAAAACGTGTCTGAAAGATCATAGAGCCGTAGCTCTAGCCGATTGCCAGAATGAAGGATTTGATTACCATGTTAGAGGTTTTGTAGACATTTTGGTCTGCTTTAACAAATAAGGAAATAGGCTCCGAGGCTGCGCTATGAAGCATTTTTTAAGGCACTTTTCTGAACAAAAAGACGATTTTAATCAACATCGATTTTCTTATAGGTAGGATAACTCTTTTAGCTGTTATGACTTCGCCATCCCACAATTCTTGTTGGCATGTATAACTCACCGCAATAATTAAATTTTGTCACGTGACACTTATTGTTTTTTTGGAACAATATGACGCAAAGGCGATAACTTCTTTTCGGAGAAAGAGATAAGGGAGGGACTCGGTCGACACCTAGATACCAGTATCGTCACGAGTGCTGTCACCTTTATTTTGACGCATTCCTTTGTGCATCTTTTCCGGGTCTGTTTCCTTTTTATCGCTGAACACGTAACACGGCGACCGGGATATACAACTGGGATACGAAATGAAAGTAATAATAGCCTTACTGCTCACATCACTCCTTCAGCAAGGTAAGTAATCAGCTATGCAACAAATCATTTGGACAAAAACCGATCGAAAACAATCAATCGAATCAGAAGTCTATGTCTCATCATTATAAGGGTTGAGGTATCCGTTTCATTGACACCCCATGACATGTCCATGACTCAGTCGAGAGTTCATGTTTATAAGTGATACAGTGTACTGAACAAAGTGAGATTAGCTCTGTTACCGTTGCTACAACTGAGAATAAACCATGAATGTCTGCTAGTCAGACTTCTTTAGTGGTTAGGCCCGTATTTCTTTACCACTTCAAATTAAACGTCATGACCTCCGAGATTGTTCGTGGGCATTTGTGATGTTTGTTCATGTAATGCTTCGGTGTGGACTAGTTTTGTGGGGGTGATGACTGATATGTTTTCAGAATTTACAACTCACGTTCAGTTGTCAAAGGATGAACCATTCACAGCTATGGCTTCAAATTTAGTAGCATCTTTCACTTTAGTTTATAATAACACAGTTCTTTCAGTGGGGTACCGTATTTATTCGAATAAGCGCCCAACCTCGAATTAGCGCCCACCTCGAATAAGCGCCCATCCTAAAGGCAGAAAAAGTTAATAAGCGCCCAGCCTCGAATAAGCGCCCACCCCCTCCTCCCCCCAATCAAACTCAAATAAGCACTCACCCCCACCCCACCCACTTAAGTGAATAAGTTCCAATAAGAGACTTCCCCAAGGACTGAGTTTTTTTTCAGAGTATTTTACAGAAACCTTGCTTTGTTACTTCTTCGCGTTTTGTTATTAGCATTTATTGTTTTGTTGCAAAATAAACATACTTCACTTGCTGAAAATGGTGAAAATTTAATAAGCGCCCAGCCTCTAATAAGCGCCCACCTCTAATAAGCGCCCACTCTCAAGGTACAAAAATTTAATAAGCGCCCAGGGCGGTAAATCGAATAAATACGGTACTTAGATCACAAGGTACTTACTGACTCGTCCTCTTCAAATGCAGCGGTTTCCTTATGGCCACGGACTTAAATCTGTAGCATTTTAAAATTCACGGCCAATAGCAGGTCATGACAAATCAGTGGTTCCTGCTAGTTTCAGTGGACAGTGAGTGGAGAACATGTGTGCATCATTTCCCTCCTTCCCTTAGATCCTCATACCAATTCATTTCACTAGAAAACTTAGGTCAGAAAGTAAGCTGTTTCTTTAAGATAACTGAGCCAACAACTCACTCTGAGAGAAACAAAGTACAGCTCTGTACAGCATGATCGTGAGCCCATAATTTTGCTCGTTAATTTACCTTCGTTCACAACATTAAAAGGAACTTACACGAATTATTTTACCGATTCTTTCATTTTGATATATAATGTTCACAGAAAGATGTTTTAATGCGTCTAAATAAATTTGGTTGAGCGTTATATTAAAAACTTTAATGCCATAACTGCTCATCCGTTGAAAAATCCAAAAACATTTCAAATTCCCTTCCCCAGAACGATTAACGGCGGACGCGTTTTAAATATTGATGCATGATAGAGACTATCGCTAACACTACCGAATAGTTACTTTCAGAATTATTAATATCTGTCCATGCAAAAGTATTTATTTTTACTCCAAATTCCTTTAAAACGCTTTTTTTAAAACAACTTTAAGCAAAGATTTCCGATCATAACTTCAAGTTCTTTTCAAGATGATCAATATATTGTGTCCATTGATTTAATCTGAAACCAATTGATATTCATAATACGCTCCCATCTTCCTTCTTTCCAAGAATTCACGGTTGACTAATTTGGTTTGTTTAAAAAAAGAATTGAAATGACGCATACTTCAAAAACGCACACGTAAGTAAATATTTCTTCATCAAATATACTTATAACCGGACAGACACACATTTATAATGAAATTTCACGAAATCAATAAAAAGAGCGGAAATTTAACTGATGCGTTGCTTCCTGGGCGAAGTATTCCTTTATATAAGCGTCATAAGATATGTGCGGCGCCAAAGAGCCTAGTTTTTAAGGTAATAATAATAATCATAATAATAATAATAATAATACACTTTATTTAAAGAGGGTAGCACGGAATAGTTACAGAAACTAGTAAACTTGTGGTCCTCTAACTAAATGCAAGACAAGATCTTATCTTTTTTAACACGCCAATTCGCTGAGACAGCTTTTTACAAAGTTTCTCTACATGGGAAGTAAATGACAGTTCAGAGTCAATTTCAAGACCTAGCAGCTTAGCACTGGGAACGAGTTCGAGTTCAGCATTGATCTTTGAGGGGAGACGCTTGCCAGTGATTAGCATAGCCTTGGTTTTACCTTCATTAATTGGCAGTTTGTTTGAAGCTGCCCAATCGACGATTTCGGCAATTGACGAATTTAGGGTACCCTCTAGCCTTCCGATAGAGCTATAGTTCGCACCGGAAGTCAGCGTTGTATCGTCGGCATACAAATCAATTCTTGATGAAGTGACGTAAAGCGGTAGGTCATTGATAAAGACGATAAATAACAACGGGCCAAGTATGGACCCCTGGGGAATACCATGACGAACAATAGCGACACTTGACCGTTTATCTCCCAGCTTAATAAGTTGGCGTCTTTCCTTCAAATAAGAGGTAAACTATTGAAGGGAATCCCTACTAATCCCATACATATCAAGCAACTTGATAGGGTTTTTCAGTGTCAATACCTTAAAAGTTTGAGCATAAACTACATCACCATTAACAAAGATTTGGAAAAATTACTACCGCAGCTATATTAGATAAAGGGGAAAATTTGTTATGTTCAGGGGGCAATGACATCGAAGTTGTCAAAGCAAAGAAATGACACTATTACCCGATTTTACTTGCAGCCGTATTTCTCGAAACTGAGGACTGTTCTTCCAAAATTGTCCACGGGAACTTTTTACTACAATAGCCTCCTCGATGTTCGTGAATTTTAAGCGAACTCTGTAAGAGCGTTATCGAGATATTTTGTGGTGAGGTTTTTATTGTTAGAAAGACGGTAAAAACTAGACAATCTTGATGTTCGGCCGTAATCGGTAGAAAACAATGCGGTTTTGAAATGCAATTTCACCTCGTAGTAGTATGAATCTTTTTAAAAGGTGTCTGAAAGATCATGGAGATAGCTCTACCCGATTGCCAGAATGGAGGACTTGATTAGTATGTTAGCGGTTTTGTAGACATTTCGGCCTACTTTAACAACTAAGCGAATAATTTTTAAAGCGCTCGATAGATCGATTGACCGTCGTTTTGCATGACCTTTGAGTTTCAAGATTACTGATATATTGTAAGGCAGTAAAATAAAGGCTACAATTCGCAAATTATTTGTCGGAAATTTCGTGCTTACAAGTGAGAGGCTCTCTTTATTCGGGGCTTTTCCAAATCTTTGTTAATGGCGACGTAGTTTATGTTCACACGGCTGCTCAAACTTGGGAGGTATTCTCTCTGAAAAACTCTATCGAGCCATCTTAACGTCCGATTCAAGATTAAACGACATAAACATTTTGATTAACGTTCGTTGCTTCCATTCTTTCAATAAACGTTTTAGATCTCAAGGACCACTTTGAAATGAGTCCTTGGTAACGTTACTTCCCTTTTCTTTCCTTTCTTTGTTTCTGCAGAAAAAAAGGTAACTTACACTGCTACAATTTCCTTCCCGATTTGCAATCATTTATGAAAATCATTCCTCAGAGACGAAAACTTGTAAACTTGACCACACATCATGGGCATCAATGGATTTTTCTTATGCTTTTTTTCTTATCATTCATGCAGGAAGAGGAAGTTGGATATTTCGGATTTCTTCAGACCCAATCAGAGTATTTCAAGGTTCCAGTGCTGTGTTTATATGGGGCCTAAGAGAAGATTTAATATCTCAGCCTGCTTTCAAAGGACTCACGTTTGGACTTTGGAAAAATGGCCACCTGACGACTTACATTATTTCACTCACGAAGAGTGGGAGGATTATTCCTAACCCAGACTTAGATGATCAGCTAACGTTCTTTGCTGGCCGTGTGCAATGGATAGGAAACTTGACCAAATCGTTTGCAGCATTCGAAGTCTCTCAAATTAGTGCGCGTGACCAAATGGATTATGGGATTCAACTACATTTTGGTGCATTCAAAGATACTGTGTCTGATTTTGTTAGACTTGAAGTTGTAGGTAACTACATGAAGCAGTTTTCATTTCTAATTTTTGTTTACCAGCAGCAGATAATGACACTACATATGAATTTTATCTAACTTTTTAAGGTGGCTCGACCCAGTATTTTTTTTGGCATACCTTTCACCTTTGGGGCCTGTTATACCTAAGCACCTTGGCCTTTACTGAAAATCGGTTATAGCACATAGATTACATGTAGACTGAACTTTACGGAAGCCAACTTGTCGTGCCTCGTGCTTTTGAGCAAGTTTCTTGCATTCCGATACAATATAGCTAATTGTTTCTTCACTTTCTCCGCACATCGCAGATTCTACACTTCGCAGGTACATTATCCGCTTTATACTATTAGTTGTGAAAGCTTGGTCTTATGCTGCCACAATCATGCCCTCTGTCTCCTTCTTTAGTCTTCCGTTTTTCAGCTACTCTCACGTCTTTTTATCTCATACTTCTGCTGTGTACCTCCAATCTGCCCATGAAGTTGTTTCTCCTGAAAGCGCTCTTTTCTTTCTCGCTGTAATGATGCAGCTTCACAACTTTTAGCATACATCTCAGAACCTCTTCCTTGTACACTGCCTCAAATAGGGGGCCGCTACAACTCTCAACATACCGGCTAAGACTATTGATCTCACTATTTACAGAGACCTCAACACTCGTTAATCCTCTACCCCCCTCCGATCTTTTAAAGTAAAGCCTCTCAATATCAGCCTGCTGATGCAAAGCATGATGTAGAGTCATTTATTTGCGTCATCAATCTGTAGCTCTTCTTTCGTCCATTTCATTATTCGTGCCTCATTTCGTATTACTGCCACTGCCCTACTATTGATCGCTTGAACCATATTCTCTACGTTCAGTTCACACTTTAATATTTTCGTACACGACGAAAGTATTCCTCCTCAATTCTTCTTTTCATCTGGGTGTGTTTGATTTCATCTCCCTCAAGCACCCCCAGGTATTTATAAGCATCCACATCACCATAATTCATTGCCCGAATCAGTCTTCAATCCGCAATGACAATACCCTCTTACTTGACCATTCCATTCTGATGTTTTGACAGACTACTCGGACAGAATGTATCCACCTGGTTATTATTATTATTATTATTTAATAAACGCGCCTTTTAACTAATCTAAGCTTCAAAATATTAACGAGAAAGTAGTATGGCCTCTTAAAACCTCTAGTAACATAGACTAAACTGAGCTCATTATTAATTTAGCTGAAAGAACCTCTGCGATGACTACTGTATGGTCACCGCCCCTGTCAGTTCAACCAGGCAGTAACGCTTCCTTTCAGTGCCAGTTTTATGTTGGAGAGGCTGACGAATCCGTCTTCGATTACGTCACAGTTGGGCTCTGGGAACGAGGAGGTACCTCTGTAACGCTTCTGACTTTGACGAAGAGGGGAAATGTCATCGTTAATCCAAAACTAAATAAAGAGGCCCCGTTGTATGCTGGACGAGTTCATGGGAGGCAATGGAAAAATACGACCACCAATACTTCAGGGATAACGGTGAAAATAGAACATGTCGAAGAATCCGATGAAGGATTTTATGGGTGTAGCATATTCTTCGGTGCATTTAAAGGGGAACTTGGTGAATCAGTGAAGATTGACGTGCAAGGTAGGTGGTGCTGCCACCCAAATAATCTACCTACCTAATATGGTAAGGTTTTCTCTTTCCATTAACAGAAAACAAAATGGACCTAAATCATTACTTATCGTTTACCTTTTTCTTTTTTAGCGTTATGTTTATCGAACCATAACAAAAGTCAAAACTAGCTGGCGAAGAAATAATTATGTCACTGTTATTATCACCAATATTGTTATCATTACCCAGTTTTTATTATCATCATTTTTATTGTTATTGTTATTATCATCATTATTATTGTTATTGTTATTATCATCATTATTATTACTTTCATTATTATAAAATTTGTTATTATTATTACTGTTATTACTGTTCATCGAATTTATCGCTATTAGTCTATCTATCAGTTATTGCAGGTTTGAGACTAAGGGCGTTAAAATCATTGCTCTCTTCATGCCCATAATTCTAACGGTTGGATTTTGTCGTGGATTCCCCTTTTTTTCTGTGGAAAGAATTATTAATGAAGAGAAGATAATTGCAGTTAAAGTCGCAACTTGTGCTGTTGCGAAAAGAAGTTGGTTCAAATATGTGAAATTCATATATTCATTTAGAAAGAATTAGGATACTGATACTGTTATTATCATTATTATTACCATTTCGTTTTACCATCATCATTCTCATTTACTATTATCATCATTGGATTCCGCTTTTGTTTCTACCAAAAACCAGACACAAACACAAACTACAAGCGACAAACTAAGATCAGAGACGTCCCTCAACAGCCGTTGCGGGTTGAAGCGCGAGTTGGTCAAACCATTAACCTTTCCTGCCCAGCATTATCGAAGGTTTATCAAATGGACGGTACATTTAAAGTCGTTGTTTGGTCTTTATGTACCACGAAAAGTTGCTCTGCCAAGGACACTCAATGGACATGGTTAGCAGGTCTAAACAGTCAGGGAAAGACCAAAACCATCGATAAAGGTTAGCTTTTCACAGCGCGGAAAAACGAAATGACTTTCAGTCAGTAGTGCTACCTTAAGGCCCATACCGTGAGCCACAAGTGGCCGGCCAGACCGATTCAGTTGTAAAGAGAATTCAAGAGTTAATCAGAATTTTCCAGCCATGCAGACCAGCCTCTCCATCCTAATTTGTGTGAACGGCGGTGATGGTTTTCTATCAAAAATCTTCGAAAAAAGTCGATATCATTTTAAAAGTACCCGGACCGGCCGGTTCTGACTTTTGGTAGTCGCCCTCAGCTTTGTTTTAATCTCTAAGAATTCTTCAAGGAGATTAAAACAGAATTTTGGAAACGCGTTTAATAAGTCAGTATTCTAGGTCGGTTGTTTAGCAGACTGAAGCACTGTAAGGAGTTTCAAATTTTTTTGATTAAATTGTATGATAACTTTATTTTCTAGGCCCTTTCTCGAACAGACTAAATATTACTCTGAATGGTACCCTGGAAATATATCATACGGAAGTAAGTGACAGTAACACCTACAAATGCAGCGTACACAGAATAAACTACACGTCTCCTGAAAGGAACTTCGTCACTCTTCAGGTTGACACCTCAGGTACGTGATCAAAGACCATTAAGCCTTACTTGAAGCAAGTCCTTTTATCGTTTCATTTGTTTGAAGTACACTTTTAGTTGCTTCTCATTTTCTTTGACTATTATTTTCTTGTTGCATAGTTCAGCAAAAAAAAATGGCAAAGAAGGTCTGTATCGTAGCAATTTGTAATAATCATCGCACCTTTTAATACCTGTCCAAATTTTTAAGAAACCGTGTCGCACTTTGAAGTAATAATATTATATAGATTTAGCTAAGGCTAAAAGTGAAGCGTCCATTTATATACTTTCAATTACTTAAAAACAAAAAATTAGAACGAATAAACTTCAACCTATGCAAATCCAGAAATTTATACTTAACTGATTTTAAAACAAAAAGAGAAAATTTTAAATCAAATTCGATCACAGTAATTGTCTTGGTAAAGAATTCTTACCATACTAATAACAAATAATAATTTATTATTTTTAAGGCTCAAAATTGCACTAAATATGATCTAATGCGCTCTAACCAAAAAGTTATATAAAATTATACGTAAAAGTTCCTAAAAAACCTAAAAATTTAGTATAAATATCTCTATGTATACAATTAAAAAGGCAATTATAAGATTCGATTAATAAATGTATTGTAACGTAGTAACAGTTCATCTTTTGACCTAAGGTTGTAGGAGGACTTCTTCTTGACTTCCATTGAATTTTTGTATATAATATGGAACCAGTGCATGTATATTGCTTTAGATGTTACAAGTATCACCTTGAATTTAATCCTGACACTTATTGGTAACCAGAGTAACTGACACAGTACAGGTGTGATCTGACAAAACTGCGGGGTATTTGTTACTAAGCTGGCAGCCATATTCTGAAGACGCTGTAGCGTATTATTGACGCTATTACAGTAATCTACGCGCCCCATTACCAGTGTATGAACCAAACATCAGGTTGAATCCAACGTTAAGTATTTCCTGATCCTTCTTATATCGTGCAGAACCTGTGATCACCCAAGCGTAGCGCAACAATGTTGGATCCGTTTGCACAACTCTTCCTTAAAACTCTTCCAACATTGTTGGGGCCGCGCACGCGCATTACGCATGGTTTATAAAGACTTATGGGTTGTATCCTTCCCACAATGCACTGCAGGTCCGAACATTGTTGGGAGTTGTTGCATCCGTTTGCACACCACTGCCAACACGCACGCAACAACTCCCAACATTGTTGGACCAACAATGTTGGGAGTTGTTGCGTCCGTTTGCAGGCAGCCTAACTGACTTATCAAATTACTTTAATATATACTCAGGTGCAACGCCATGAATTGCCTTAAATGGAATAATGAGTACTTTAAAACTGATGTGATATTCAATAGGTAATCAGAGTAGAGAGCGCAGCACAGGCGTTATGTGGTCATATCTACAGATGTGACAAATTATACGAGCAAGCTGAATTCTGAACACGTTGTAATTTTCGTAAATGGACCGAAGAGAAGGCCAATTGTAATTATCAACTCGTCCCATAACACGTGCATGAACTATAGTGTTTGAGCGGAATCATTAGATAGATATTTCCTAATTCACCTAATGTTATGGAGATGAAAATACGCAATTTTACAGGTCTTATTAATATGTTCGTTCAGATTTAGGTTACTGTTCAAACCATTAGTTCCAAGATTTTTCGCACCCGTGACAGGGCTTACTCTTGTATCACCGATAGCAAGGTGACCAATACTGACTTTCTCCAACTGCCGTCTATTACCGACTACTATAAGTTTAGTTTTACCGTCGTTAATCTTGAGTTTGTCCATGATCATCCACGATGGTATATCTTTAATACAGCGCTCCATTGCGAAGAAGACGAAACAAGTAAGTTGAATAAATCTCAAAACGTTTATTACAAAGCGCGATGGAATTAAAACAAATTGCGGCAGCTTAGTTCATTACAAAGTGCGGTGGACAGTTATTACAAATTGCGACAGCCTTTTAATTTATTAAGAATTGTGAGGGGTATTACAAAGTGCGATGGATTTGTTACAAATTACAACAAGTATTACAAAGTGCAATGATTATTACAAATTGCGATGCGGACTTTCCACAGTAACGATTTCTCAGTTTTTATTTGCAATCTCAATTTGCAGTGTCGCCTAAAATTACTGAACGGGAGCCGAGTAAAATAGTCCATGTGCAGCTAGGAAGCGTCCTTTTCTTAAAATGTAAAGCGGAGGGAGTTCCCAAACCTGTTGTAACGTGGCGAAAAGATGGCCGACTCATTCAGAACAAAACAGTCGAGACGTACTTCAAACGCGAAAATGCCAGTAAAGATGATGAAGGAAAATACGAATGCGAGGCTTCTAACTCAGCTGGATCGGACAGCTACAAGGTGGACGTTATTATAAAAGGTACAAATCATTTTGTTGAGGTAACGAAAAACTTAAAATTATAAACAACAACAAAAAAAAAACAAGCGGTTTGTTGAACGGATTTCTTCAATTTAATTGAAATTTAAAATATCATTAAAGCGTCCAGTTAGGTATTGATTTTATTCGCCATATGGGCAACAAAGAGACATACGTATGTACACAGTTTCTTAACTTGTCAAGTCGTTCCCATCTAGCGCCAGTGGCCCTAACTGGTGACATAAGCAATAGATACGGTCTCCCCATGCATTTTATTAAGTTTGCTTTAAACTGAATTCAGGCCGCTCAGGAAGGCTTGAAATGTGAGAAGTGTAGTGTATTGCCTATTAAATCGAAACTTTTTGTTACTTCAGGGAAAGACTCCAACAACAACAACAACAACACCTGGAGGACCATTGCATTTGTCGTTGTTGGTCTATTTGTTGCAGTGTGCATAGGTTTTTGTTTTTACAAAAAGGTGATAAGTAGACCGTCACAGATGTCTCCTCCAGAGCAACCTAAATCCAACGAAATTGAACCTCTCTGCGAGGTTAACGGTACCAAATCAGAGAACTGCTTGAATGGAAGAATGTCAGCAACGCATCCAGCTGACTCAGATTCGAACCCAGATCCGCGATAATTGTATTACAAACGTTTAGAATACAGAACATGCAGAATACCAGGGCTTTTTGTTACTTTAGCTAATGTTTGTAAATGATTCCAGTGTTTGAACAGTGAACAATTACTAGGCTAGTTAAATAAACGTTAAACTTTAAACTTCATTTTGGCAGTGGTCATAATACTTATTGCACAAATGCTTCTTGGTAATCATTCTTTCACACTTTTTATTTTATTAAGATGAGGCTCGGTTAAACTCATCCCAAACAATCTGAACTTGAAGAGAAGAGTTTCAAAGCACTCTAGTCTCCCTGGTAACAAAGCCATATACCTTCTTGTAATGTGGCAATAGGTGCGAACCAGGTGAATGAACAGCTGTAGATTTTTCTGGCTCTCGCATAAAAAGGTTACAAAGCGCACTTCGCGTCAATCAGGCCCAACCGGCCAGAGATCATCTTTTTCGCAATAGTGTGAGGCGCTGAGGAGTACTGCAATCCCCGCTAAGACTGCAAGGTTTACCCCCGACACAACTGCTGTATGTAAAAAAACCGGTGCCCATTTATACGCCGGGAAAAAGAGAGTTAGTGTGGAGGGAGGGTTTTTGAGTGAGGATACACCGGAGTGAAAAGTCTTGAATCCAGACCAACACATCCGAATTATAATGTGTTAACAAATACACCACCACCTCTTCCAAAGTTTTTAACGGTGGAAATGAGGTCCCTTCCTCGCTCCTGTTTGATTACATCCCGGGTGATTTGTCCCTGGATGACTCGCAGACCATAGGTGTTTTACGCTGGTTCATTTTTATGAGCTTGCAGATAGTCTCCTATACTCACATAGTTCTGACAGACGAAAAAGCAAATTATTAGATTATAAAGGTCAATTCAATCCCACTTTCTCTTGGCTAGAAGGGAGGAGCTTTCTGGTTAAAACTGGCGTAAAACTACTTATTTTTATGTAGAAGCAAAAAAGAGTAAACGGAAAATAAGGCGAAAACTTGGTCACGTGGTACAAATTCACGTCTGCCGTTTTGCGTAAACGTGAATCTGTATGCACTTGACAAGACCTTGAAAATTATGTCCTAACTTTGCTTTCAATTTATGAGTGCGCGTCAAGTGAAATAGACTTTCATTGTCATCGATGACATGAAAATATAAACTTAATTCCTACCTTGTTGAGCCTGTAAGTTTGGAATGAACATTTCCAGGGGCAAATCGAAGTATGATTTGATGAATATTGTGTCTTTGGTATTAAAGTAGTTTCTGTACCGAAAAATGGACACTTCAAGTCCGAACTCCGCAAGCCAGTCCATCAAATCTGAGTGTTTTTCAAAAAACTGTCAATCAATCAATCACATTTCAACATTTGGTGGGTTGAAAGTTGATTTGAACAAAATCCGCTACGCTACGTGCTAAAAAAGAGACGAGGAAAAATGGCTCGTTAATCCTTTAGAAACAACTGCTGATTATTGAATTCCAGTATGTCGATGTAAACAATCAAAGGAACACAGGAAAAATTGAAGTTTTGTCGATGTCGTTCAAATGGGGAACAGCAGCGAGAATCTTGCTCGTTATTCTTTGTGAATGCCAGGAGTCCATGGTAGAAAAATTCTAGACTCTAATTTGCTTGGCTTGATACGCTCACTGTGTCAAGGAAATGTTTGTAAACGAGAGCACCAAATCCTTGAACAGGAAGCATGTTTTCGAGTTTGCTTGGACTTTGGAAAGGCCGTGTTGGTCAAAGCCGGCATTGAAAGGTCCTAAACAACACCAGGGATACAAGCAAAGTTCTTCAATTGCTTTAGTCATTTAGCAAGCTTTTCCCATAATTCCCAAAGCATAATTTTCAGCTTTCCATTATACAGGCAAAGAGTTCAAGCTTAAACTGGAGGTGAAATCTAAGCTTTGTGACCCTTTGTGTTTTGTTTTGTTTTAAAAAACTTTAGTAAGTTTATGCTTTATTTCATAAAACAAAAACATTGTTGACAGAAAAGCTAGCTTTGATATGCAAAAAAAGTTTGATGAAATTAACCTACAGTAAGCCTATTTTGCACGAGCATTCGAACAAGAAACGTCCTCAGAGTACTGTTTGTGACGAAGTGTGTTTCCAAGGGCGTTCAAGGAAAACAATCATTTCGCTTCAGCATTTGGTGCTATCTGAGTTTTATCACAGTTAGGAGCAGTAAACATTCGAGATTTTCAAAGATATTTTGGAAAAAGTTCTGAAACAGACATAAACGTAAAACAAAAGCAAAAGAAAACAAGAAAGTGATCTGATTAAAAAAAATCTCTGTTTAGCGCAGTCGGAAAATCTCAGTGAAAACAGCGATGGCTTCGTCGCCTGCTGGCCGAGCGAACAATGGAAACAACAGATTTGAGCTGCCTCCAGTGCAGCAGAAATTAAAAATACCTGTCAGAATGACTCAGTTGAGCAGCGGGTTTACCACTTATGGAGCCGGAGACTGCAGAGACTCTGAAACGTTCTACATTCTACGTTCTACATTCTACAGTATGCAGATTCTCACACTTTGAATTCAGACATTTCGTCAATTGTAGACGATTGTGATCGCGATGACTTAAATGATTTCTTGAATATAGACATCTTCTTACTTAATGAAGACGAACATGGTGAGATTAGAGAACAATAGGACAGATCTGAAACGAGATCTTTGTTAGTGGCTGGACGTGAAGACAACACCATGAAGTCTGTGGAAAATGATGAAGAATTAGAGGAAGATAGTGAACACATAGAAGTGAATTCAGAAGATATCTGCCGCAGGCCTATAAAAGTGTAAGTCGACCAACTAAACCAGACCTTAAAGAGTTCCAAAACGGGGCCTTTCAATTAAGAGAGGAACGTTGGGAGCAGAAAACTAGAGATTGAGACTATAAAATTGATGACTTGAAACATCAGTTAAGAATCAGAAAAGAGTCCTTGAATGAATGTGTGGCGCAGTTGGAGAACGAAAGTATTGAGGTTATTAGAATGCTTCAAAGAGAAGTCAAAAATACAAAGAAGTTGTTGCGCGAAAAGGAAGCTACACTGTTGCGAGCAGAACATATAGTAGCAGAATTTCTTGATAATCTGGGGATTAGGGATTGCAAATTTGATGAAAGCGTAGATTTTGTGGACAAGCTGGATGCCATCGTTAAGAAGCTTCAAGAAAACCTTGAAAGTGCTCGCTGACAGCTGCTGCAAAAAGAAGCTAAGTTGAAGGACACCGAGGCCTTTCTAACGACACTCCTTGGTAGTTCAAATTCAAGAGTTTTAATGTGTTTCTCCACAAAATCCAAAGTATACCAGAGGCGACAGACAATGAAAAAGCAGATAAACCGTCACGTCTAACCATAGCAGAGGCAGAAAACAGTGGTACTGTGGAGCATCTTAAAGAAAACCTCGAAATCACGGAAACAACATTAAGTGAGACAATAAGAGCATTAGAGAGAGCACAAGCAGAGCAAGCAATTAAAGCGTATCTTCTAAAGGTCGCGGAGGAAACGCACAGTGGCATTGCGTCACAACTTGAAGAAAAATTGAAAGAGACGCAAAATAGACTCAAGGAAAAAGAAGACGCTCTGGAAAAAGTGCAAGCTGAGATGGCATCACCCCCTGCCGGTTCTCATGTGACCATGAGGACTAAATACCACCCAACGCTCCTTAAAAGAAAGAATAGTTACTTTGCAACAGGTAGAAGCAGATCTACAAATAACAACGTCTCTTCTTGCCAAGGCAGAATCAAACCACATTGTGCAGGTGGATCAATTTGAAAGAACTATAAAAAAAAAAACTTGAAAGAGATCTAAAGAGATCTAGGAATGGAAAGCTCGTTCAGGGAAAAGGAGACTATTTGAAGCAAGCTTAAACGCAACTGCAATTGAATGCGTCACTTCAGGCTTCTGCACAGGCAGAAGACAATGACCTCACGGCAAAGCGTGTTACCAAGGATGGGGAACTTTAAGGAGATTTGGAAACGGCTCAGAATTGTTGAAGGAGAAGGAAGACAAGCTGAATCATGCGAAAGAAGAGTTAGAGGTTAAAACGAGGCTTGCTGCCTCTACAGAGAACAAACGTGAAGGAATTGTAAGGAAGCTAGAGTGTGAATTGAAAAGCTCTGAAATCTCTCTCGAGGAGACGAAAGCATCGTTGCAACAATCAGAACAAACGCTGAAACTTAACGAATCTGCGCTGGTGAGCGCAGAGGCTAAATTATGTCTCCCAGAAAAAAAGAAATTATGGAATTGAAAGCAGACAGAATTAGACTCGAGTCATCAATCAAACGTCTACAAGAAGAGCTTGAGGCAACAAAACGTGCCTGAAAGAAAAGAAACAAGCTTTAAAAACGACAGATATGGAATTGCAGAAACATGAAGACATTGTACGGCAACTGGATAGTGAATTGAAAAGCTCTAAAAATTTCTAAGAAGTATTTATAGGAAACGGAAACAGCATCACGACAATCAGAAGAAAAGCTGAAATTAAAAAAAATCTGTTCTAGCGAGCACCGAAGCTAAATTGCGTCTCCGAAAAAACGAAGTTATGGAATTGAAATCAGACGGAACTAAACTTGAGTCATCAACATGTTAAAGAAGAAGATCTTGGAGACACGACAATCTGCCTAAAACAAAAGAAACAAGCTTTGGAAACGGTTGATATGGTATTGCACCTGAAAAAATCACTACTCGTTGACAAGGGAAGAAAGCGTTGTAACGATGTGAAACATCTTGAAGACGATTTGAAAGCAGTGCAAAACACTTTAAAGTACACAGAGACTGACTTATAAAAGACAGAATTAGATTTTATGTCAAAATCATCACTTGTTTTAAGTTTGGAAGCCAAGGTTTGTCTTCGAGAGAATGAACTTGAGGAGCCGAAACGTTCTCACAATGGTAGGGACCTAGAGTTAGAGCTTGTTTCAGCCTCCGTGGAAGATCTTAGGAAGCTGATGGAGATTTCTGACACACAAATTGCCGATAAGAACAAGGAAATTGTTTCTCTCAGAACGTGCTTGAAACAGCGAACCGG